TTCAAACATTAATAATTAATATTGATTTTAATATTAATATTAATTAATTAATTAGGTGAGTACTAATCAATATTAATAATATTAAGGTAATAATTAATATTAATTAATTAATTCTATACATTAATAATAAATAAATAAATAAATATTATTAATATTAAACATTAAATTTAAATAATATAAATATTAAATATTGAAGGACTTTGGACAGTGTGAAATAATATTTATAACAATGATATTAATGATATGTAATAACTCATTAATCAACTGAATAAAATGGTGAAAATTTAATAAAATTCAAATTAATTAAAATCTAATTGATTAAAAATTGGCTGTCTGGTGTTTTAGTTAATTAAAAATTAATCATTTGGTGTTTTAGTGATACGTATTATTATGTAATAGTAATACGCACTATTTAGTAATGCATATTATAAATAAAATTGATACGTACAATTTAGTAATACATATATATAAATAATAAATAAATAAATCATATAAATAAAATACGTATCATTACGTAATAGCAATACGTACTATTTAGCAATACGTATTTTAAACAAAATGATTGATACGTACTATTTACATAATAGCAATATGTACTATTTAGTATTACGTATTATAAACATAATGAATAATACATACTATTTAGTAATACATATAAATGAAATTATTAATACGTATTATTTTGAAAAACATATCATAAATAGAATTGATACGTACTACTTAGTAATGCATATCATTACGTAATAGCAATACATACTATTTAATAATATGTATCATGATACGTATTACTAAATAGTACTATTTGATACTAGTATGTACTATTTAGTAATACGGATCATTCCGTAACAGTAATACATTAATAATAATAATAAATAATAATAGTAATAATAAATAATAATAATAAATAATAAAAATAATAAATAAAAAATAATAGTAATATAAAAAATAATAATAATAATAATAAAAAATAATACAATAAAATAATTAATAATAATAAATAAAATAATAGTAATAAATAATAATAATAATAATAATAAATAATAATGATAAAATTAATTATAAAACATAATACATCCTAATACATACTACTATTTAGTAGTATGTATATATTTATTCGTTATATATTTTTTTATTTATTTATTATATAATTATTTATTTATTATACATTTACTTATTTATTATGTATATATTAATTTATGTATGTATGTATTAATTATTTACTATTTAATACACACTATTTAGTAATACGTACTTGGTAAAATGTATCATTACGTACTACAGAAATTGATGGAAATTGAAGGAACTTACGAGAAATGGAACCAGAAATTGATGGAAATTGATGAATAGAACCAGAAATTGATAGGAATTGAAGGAATTAACGAAAATAGAACCAGAATTGATAGAAATTAAAGGAATTGACGAAAATAGAACCAGAAATTGATGAAAATAGAACCAGAATTGATAGAAATTGATGAAAATAGAACCAGAAATTGATGGAAACTGAATAAAATAGGACTTGAATGAGTAAAGACGCCTTTTGCCTTCAATCTTTCTCAATAATAATCTACAATATTAATTTAATTTAATATTAACTAATAATTAATTTAAATTAATAATTAATTTAAATTAATAATTAATTGATAATAATTAATTTAAACTAATATTAACGTTGATCATGAGAGCTTAGATAAGGATTTAGAACCAAGTCAAGGATATGTCATATGTCATGTCATGTCATGTTATATGTCATGTCATGTCATGTTATATGTCACCTATGTATACATATGTTATATATGTCATGTATATGTTACCTATGTAGATTAAAATGGATTTATCAAGAGAGAGAGAGAGAGAGGAATAAAGAAAGAGAGAGAGAGGAATAGAGAGAGAGAGATAAAGAAAGAGAAGAGAGAGAGAGATAAAGAAAGAGAAGAGAGAGAGAGAGGAATAAAGAAAGAGAAGAGAGAGAGAGAGGAATAAAGAAAGAGAGAGAGATAAAGAAAGAGAAGAGAGAGAGAGAGGAATAAAGAGAGAGAGATAAAGAAAGAGAAGAGAGAGAGAGATAAAGAAAGAGAAGAGAGAGAGAGAGGAATAAAGAAAGAGAGAGAGATAAAGAAAGAGAAGAGAGAGAGGAATGAAGAGAGAGAGATAAAGAAAGAGAAGAGAGAGAGAGAGGAATAAAGAAAGAGAGAGAGATAAAGACAGAGAAGAGAGGAATAAAGATAGAGAGAGAGATAAAGAAAGAGAAGAGAGAGAGGAATAAAGATAGAGAGAGAGATAAAGAAAGAGAAGAGAGAGAGGAATAAAGATAGAGAGAGAGAGAGAGAGAGAGAGAGAGAGAGAGAGAGAGAGAGAGATAAAGAAAGAGAAGAGAGAGAGAGAGGAATAAAGATAGAGAGAGAGATAAAGAAAGAGAAGAGAGGAATAAAGATAGAGAGATAAAGAAAGAGAAGAGAGAGAGAGAGATAAAGAAAGAGAAGAGAGAGAGAGAGAACAAAGATAGAGAGAGAGATAAAGAAAGAGAAGAGAGAGAGAGAGAGAATAGAAAGCAAGAGAAAGAATAATAATAAAAACCACAAATTGCAGATAAAGGAAAAAAACAAAGATTTATTAGTACAATACCTTTAATATAATAATAATTAACAAGTTGAAATTATATATATACGTATATATATATATATATATCTAGTCAAAATATTTACAATAAATTTCCATTTTGTTGGGAAAGAAAAAAAAAAAAAGGTTAATTTTCTTTTTTTTTTTTACTGATTTACCCTTTTTTTTCTTTTTTTTTTTTGGTTTTTGTTTTTTTCTCTGTCCCGTATTTTATCGCTTTATCACTAGTTACTTTTTATCACATTTCTCCGATTATCACTTCTCTTCTTTTTCCTCCTTCCGGTGCTTTCTCTCTGTTTTGTTTTTCTTTCTTTTCTTCTCTTTTTCTCGTTTTGTCTCATTTTCGTCATTTCCTCTTCTTCTCTTTCTTCAATTTTCATCTTTTCCTATTCTTCTCTCTCTCTTCTATTTCCTTCTTTTCCTCCTCTTATTCTCTTTCTCTCATTTTCGTCTTTTCCTCCTCTCTTTCATTTCATCTATTTTCAACTTTCCATATCCCTCTCTTTCGTCTTTTCCTCTCTATTTTCCCTATTTGTCTATTTTTGTCTTTTTCTCCATTACGCCTCTTCATTCTCTTCTATTTCCTTCTGTTTCCGTCTCGTCTTCCTCGTCCGTTTCTTCAATTTTCGTTTCTTCTGCCTATTTACGATTTTCTTGGTCTCCTTTCTTTTATTCTTTGTCTTTCTTCTCTTTCTGTCTCTCTGTTTCCTCCGTTCTTTAATCTTCCGCCTTTTCCTATTTTTTTTCTGTTTCTCTTTCTCTTCTCATCCATTTTCTCCATTCTCTCGTTTGTCTTTTTTCTCTCTTTCTCTGTTCCAACCTCTTTTATGGTATTTTCTCTCTCTTTCCTTTCTCACTCTCTTTTATTCTTTTCATTTTATACATCTTTTTTATCTTTTCTCTTTCTCTTGGTCCTTCTCCTTTCCTTCACTTATTCCTCTTTATCATTCTTCTTCTCCTTTTCCTATTCCCCTTTCCTCTTTCCCTTTCTTCTACTGTTCCTCTCTATCATTCTAATTTCATTTAATTTCTTCCCTCTTCCTCTCTTTCTATCTCTCCCTTCCCCTCCCCCTCTATCTCTTTTCCCTCTCTCTCTCTTCGCCTCTCCTTTTATCCCTCTCTCTCTCTCTCTCTCCCTCTTCCTCTCCCTCTCTCTCTCCTTTTATCCCTCTCTCTCTCTCTCTCTCCCTATCCCTCTCCCTCTCCCTCCCCCTCCCTTTCTCTCTCTTCCTCTCTCTCTCTCTCCCTCTCCCTCCTTTATCGCCAAAAAAAAATATAAATCAACAATCCTAAGCATAAAGTTAGTGAGTTTAAAGAACAGCTTTCAACAATTCATTAAAAAGCCGGAGGGTTAATGGAATCAATAATAATATAATAATAACGATAATAATAATAATAATAATAATAATAATGATAATTGATGATAATAATAAATGATAATAATGGTGATAATAGTAAACGATGATAATAATAAATGATAAAAATGGTGATAATAGTAAATGATGATAATCATAAATGATAAAATAATGATAATGACAATAAAAATTATAAATTTATAATAAGGAAAATAGCAATAATAATAACGTTAATAATAATCTATGCTATCACTGGATTTTGAAGGAAAACTTTTACCAAAGAATTAAAAAAAAAAACAATAAAGAAAAATTAATAATTATAATGAATAAATAAATAATAATAATAAAATAAATAGATAAAAAAAAATTATTGTAATTTTCAAAAAATAATTATTTTCAAAAACGTCACAAGAACGTTCAGTAAAACGTAATGATTTATTCTGCGGGAAGTAACTACCTGAATTCGTTGAAAGTAATATACTAAAAGACAAAAAAGAAAATAGGGAACAGGAGAAAAAATAAATAAATAACTTCCACAGTAAAGAAATGAACAACAACAATCCTGAACTGATTTCGTTTTCTTCTTCTTCTTCTTCTCCTCCTCTTCGTCATCCTTTTCCTCCTTCCTCTTTCCTCTCTCTCTCCTCCTTTTCTTCCTCTTTCCTCTCCTCTTTATCCTCTTTCTTCTCCTCTCCTCCTCCTCCCCTTTCCTCTTCTTCCTCTCTCTCTCTCCTCCTCCTCCTCTTCCTCCCTTTTCTTCCTTCCTCCTCCTCCTCTTTCTTCCTCTCTCTCATCCTCTTCCACCTCCTGCTTTTACTTCTCCTTCTTTCTTCTTCCTCCCCTTTCATCCTCTCTCCTCTCTCTCTCCTCCTCCTCTTCTTTCCTCTTTCCTCTCTCCTCTCCTCTCTCTCTCCTCCTCCTCTTTCCTCTTTCCTCTCTCCTCTCCTCTCTCTCTCCTCCTCCTCTTTCCTCTTTCCTCTTTCCTCTCCTCTCTCTCTCCTCCTCCTCTTTCCTCTTTCCTCTCTCCTC